ATTTCTTTTTCTGTGCATTTGTGATATAATTATACTCAATGTTTAAAATTAAAACCATGACAAAATAACGACTTTTTTTTTGGTGTTAACAAGTATGCAATATACCAATATATACCTATTGGCTAAAAAATTAGTTGAAAGTGTTTCTTGAAATAAAAGTTATCAACAGACAATAATCAATAAAGTAAAAATACGTGTTACACCTGATCGAGAACTCAACGTACGCCTATGTATGGTATTAATTAACAACAATTAATTTAATACGTTATTATTCTATTGTGTTAAAAATTTTAATATGTACATAATAAGTAATATTAGTATAAACGTATTTAAATAAATAATTATAATATACTTAATGATTTTATTATAAAAGTATAATACAAAAGCTATTGTTCTTTAAAGTAAAATAGAAGGATTATAATATATAATATATAGATTTATATTAAATATATCTGGAAATATGATTATAAATTATTTAAAGTTTCAATTGAAGTAGTTATTTAATGTGTATACAGCCAAATATATTAATTCAAAATTGAGTTATAACTAACTGCTAGAAATTTTAAATATCAGAACTTAAGACTTAAATATTATCAAATATCAACAAAACATGTATAGCTTTTTATTGTTGTAATGTATTCTAAATTAAGCATTAATTATATAATATATTACTTATATATCTATTATTTTTATATATAATATTTTAATACGTAGATATCAGTATAATTTTATTATAGTTAAATATCGCATAATATAACTTAGATAATAACTATTAAATATTTGAAATATAATAAACGTTCACATAAAACAAGAGTGAAGGTTTAATGTTTATGTCATTTAATTCCATGTTTAAGAAAATAAATTGGTATTATTTAAAAAAAATTAAATCAATTAAATATATATTATAAACTAATATACGCAATTTGGTATTGTTTATAAATTATAATCTATGTTGATTTTTATAAGTACCTAATTAATCACTTTGGAAATTAACAGTAATTTACAGTATTAATTATTATAATAATTATAATAAAACAAAAAATCAGAGATTCGGGTAATCATATGTCACGTTATAACATTTAAATTATAAACTATCTTAAATTGTTGATAAAATATATGCGTATACCGTAATACATAGATGCAAGAAAAATTTCTTGACTATGTAGCAGTAGATACAAGATAGTAGAAAAAAAAATATTATTTTATATTTTACTTAATCATGAATTAGCTTTCCAGAAAGAAAGTAGACTATTATTTAAGTGACTTTTCGTAGTAAACCAACAAAACGTTGAAAATAATATGTGTTATTAATAATTTATAACCGACTATTGGAAAAAAAAAATTGATTAATTTTTTTTGCATTATTTTAGAACGTACCTCATAATATGATTTTAATATTATAATAACAAGTATCTACCTATAATTAATGTTATGATTTTAGTTATAATATTATACTAAAAATTTTCAAAAATAAATATTCCTAAATAAATTGACCAAATTAGTCCCTATTCCCTAGCCTTAGTCCTTACGACCTTACTCAGAACCTAAGTAGTCAAAGCTGTACCAATAATTAAAATATATGATAAAAATAATAGCAATAATAACATATAAGCAATTTCAACCTTGTATGTTTTATTTATTTTTATTTTTATGAACTAGGTATCACAAAATTTTAACGGAAGGAATACATTTTTGTGTTTAATAGGTATAAGTAGCTATAATACTTGTATTCTCGATTACTAATCTGCTTTATGATAGTAACTCTAGCCAAAATTCATTGATAATCTATTATGGCTAATTGAAACTGGTTTACAAATTACTTAACATAGACAATTTATATTATTTTATATTTTCTAATATGCAATTTGATATTATTAATTGAAATTAAAAATTTCGATAGAAGTCTGATAAATGTTTTTCTTATATTAAAAATGGTGTCTATTTATACACCTTATACACTTTTATAATTTTTTAAACATTTATAATAATAAATAATATTTACGAAAAAAATAAAAAAAACACCTATTGAATATTATTTTTAAAAATAAATCTAACGTGAAATTTAAATGATACCTTGGTACGAAAATGAATTACTTAACAGTTTGAAATTTATTTGAAAGCAAAAATACTCACCACTTGTCAGTATGCATAAAGTTATATGCCTGATATTTTGATTGAGTACTTATACAAATAGAATGTATAACATATATTTAGCGGGCAGCGAGCAGCGACTATTAATTTATTGTATTATTTATTTATTGTAATTTGTAGTATTATGTTCGGTGTGGAATATAGGTAAATTGCGATATATCGATTTTACGTGCATTCGTTTGGTATTGTTAATTGTTTGAATAAAAAGATATAAATTTAATGTTGAAAGTGATTTGAGGGTAAAACTATTCAGTTTTCATCCTGATTTGATAATCTTGTGAAATACAATGTCAAAAATCACAGTTTATTTTAACTTTGACACCAATCAAATATGTATTCATTTATTTATCAATAATAATAGCAATATAAAAGTATATAAATAGTATCATAAAAATAGATAAGTTGCAAGGTCAATCAATAAGCAAACAATGCTTGTTACGATTAAGCTAAGTCATTATAAAATAGATTATAACAATAACAATTGACAAAACTGACAAAATAATAAAAGACTATAATATTAAGACTTAAATAATATAAAATAAGTTACAAATTAAAAAAAATTAAAAAGATTACTAATATATTATACTTGTATTTGTTAAAATTAATACAATTATTAACATTTATATTATAATTGCTATGGAAATAAATTATTTTAATCTTATGACCATTGATTATAGAATATACAATATATATAATATTATATTATATAATATATTATAATATATTATAGTATATTCTATAATCAATGCTATGACTAATAGCGCCTCGAAATTAGATTTATTTGACGGTATGATAATTAAATTTTAATTCTTATATTATGATCATGATAAGACCGGAATTCACTGATATTAACTTTATATCTATAGAGACAATAAGAAAAAAAAACTTATGGTGAAGCAGCTAAATAAATAATTCTAAAAGTTTTAGATTAGATCTAGCATTTCTTTTTTATTGAGCAAACAGAATTTATAAAATAATTAACTATTAATATTATTTACATAATAATTATTATGTCCAACAAACTTTAGTCCATAGTCAAAATTTATACCTAGATACTAAACGCAATCAACTCAAAATCAACAAAAGATACACACACACATGGATAATTTAGATATTTAGTATATTCAAAGAGTGCATAATGAAAAGTCAGAAATTAAATTATGAAATTAAACATTCGTAATATTAAAAACATTTTAACAAACGAATTGTTTTTGAGTTGAATAGGTACAATAAAATTGTAATAAAACAGTATGTTTTCCCAATCACAGAAATTTGTGCACATTATATATATCATCACATATAAAATTGTCTATAATAGACAGTCTATTTGTGTTTGTGTGCTTAAATTTTTTACTTGTATATTAAGTTGTGGCCCTCAAAGTTATTTTACAAAATCTATAGTTCGCACAACTAAAAGATTGGGATTTGGGAACCACTATAATACTCCATAATATATTATAATATACAAATATCATATTATTATAAACATCTTTAATATTTAGTACGTATTATAAGAAAAAAAGCTTAATAATATAATTCTAATTACCCACAGCTGTGGTGCGCAGGTATTCTGGGTACAACTATAATTTAATTAAAAATTTGCCGTAAGATTATGTAGAAAATGTGAGTTATTAAATTTAATACAAATAGGTATTAAGCCGTAATGTCGTGGATGTAGTGTGTGACAAATTGTTCCGAGAATATAGTTTTTCGTTAAATAACTGCAGTAATTATGAAAATCGCAAGATTTATTTCAAAACACGTCGATTGAAATATTGGTAATAAACTCATAATTAATAATACCACGCTTAATAATAAATAAAAGAAAATAATTAAATCGCGAAAATTGTTTCACAGTTACGTCTTCATGTCAACGTTACGATCGACACTATCTGTTCGCGTAATTGTTGCATGCAAACCGGACACTATAAGACGTAGCTACACAATAATATTATAAGTCGTCTAATACACACACACACACACACGTAACATATTATATAAACGCGCGTGTGTATAACCATACCTAAGATAATATTATAATATTATCATATTATATTATATTATTATAAAATAATAATGACATTCGTTTAAAACAGCATTGGTCGGCGCGGATAGCACACGTCATATTATATATGTATACACACAACGCACATACACACTCACACACGACCGCCGCCGTTATGCGCTTAGAATCCGCCCGTGACGTGTTACGGCGCTAGTGTACACCAATGCCAGCCTGTTGCACCGTCCGTGTGCATGGCACTGCAGTTGCACTAAGTTACCCGTTCTAGTCTCACCGGACACCGCCGCTGCTCGCGAGACGACGCGGACACGCGCTCTCTCCCAACCACGACGATAGTATAATATAATATAAATATCACAAACGAAAAACATTTTTTTCATCGTTTTATTTAATTTAATTTTTCTTATTTTTTTCTTTTTCTTTTTACTCGCTCGATCGATTCGAATCGCACACACACACACACACACACCTCACAACAGTGTACTCTTCATGCGTATAATATCATAATGTTATGACGTATAATACTAGTACGTAATATATCCGGAATGCATGCGAGTAACGCAGTTATGTCGTCGTATATCATTATACGCGTATAATGTCGTTGTGCACACGCGTGCGTAGTACACGCAATTTTTAAATTCGAACCATTGCCGACCACCTCGCGGACGTTATTATAATATAATATCATTGCGTATTATCACCGCGCGTATCGCCCGCACCCCGCCGTCGTTTACACCGAGGGCGACACGACGCGGTCCCGGCGAGAGGTGCACACGATAACATTTCGTTTTTGTATTAATCGACATTGACATTGATATCGTTTTCGTTGCGTACGACTTAATCGCGACGTCCGCCTAGTGATCGTATCATTTTATATTGTTGCCGTGTACCGGTGTACCTACGTGGCGGTTCCGGAAAAGGAACACCGAGCGAGAGCTGGGCCGCGTTACTCGCGTACAGCCGGCGCCGGACGTACTACTGATCGTCGGTCGAGGCGCGCGCGGTACGCCGGGCCGCTAGTGGGGACCCGTCGCGCGGCAAATCACGTGGCTCTCTCGCTACCGGCGGAACACGTCTGTGCACAAATATCGCGACGGCGGTGCGTGCGCGAGTACGTTCCGCGTTTTCGCCATCATCGGTCCGGGCGACATCCGATCGGCGGCTGCGGCGGCGGCCGTATGCGGCTATGGTGATTGCGGCGCAGCAGCCGAATCGCACATGAACGCGACGACTACTGCTACGTCCGGCCGGAAGCGCACTCGTGCCGCGACCGACCGCGGTGACGCTGACGGGAACACCCGCGAAACGGACAGGAACTACACAGGACCGCGCCCGCGTGTTTCAGACCCGTACCCCGATATGCCGGCCGGTAGACACCATCATCACCATCACCATCAGCAGCAACAGCAACAGCAGCAGCAGCAGCACGTTCAGGTCGTGACTTCCACGGCGACCGTGGTGCAGGCTGCGCAACAATCCGTCAAGGAGAAGCAACGGTTGTGCACCAACTGCAAGAACCACGGGCTGCGCAAGGTGTGGAAGAAGCACAAGCGGTACTGCAAGTACCGGGACTGCCCGTGCCCCAAGTGCATGAAGACGGCGGCGACGCGCAAGAATTGCGCCGAGCAGACCGCTAAGCGACGGGCCCGGCAGGAAGACGAGCAGCGCGAACAGGAACTCCAGCTGAACCCGTCCAACTTCCTGGACGAGCGGCCCATACCGTATCAGCCGGACGCTAACACGCTTCAGTCCTGCAACAGACGGAACATGAGCGAGTCCTCGCAGGTAGCTCGTTCGTCCACGCCCAAGGGGACGATGTCACCCAGGACATCCGATTTCGACGACCACGACAGTTCGTCCATAGACATCGTCAACGGCCGCGACGGCGTTCTCGGCGACTGTATGATCGTGGACAAGGAAGAGAGCGTTGACGAACGTGGTACTCATCTGACCGACGACGTAGACAAAAAAGACATCGACGCAGGTAAACAACAGTTATGCGTACACGTGACATATTATTATTATTGTGATTATACTGCACGACTGCACTTGATACGCTTTATTGTGGTCGTTGCGAAAATATAACGTTACTTACGCGGTTCAGAAATTGTAATTCTCGAGTCTGCCGCGTAAGACGTGTCTGCGTATAAGGATTTAAAATTATGTAACTATGATTTTCCCGCCCTAAGTCAAATCCTCTTTTTTTTTTTTAATCAGAAATCAACTAAATTTTAGGAGAAGTAGACTGGAGTTTAACTTATGGCTGTAAAATAAATATAAAATAAAAATACTTATAAGTAAAAAATTGCGGGCAGTTCGTAAGAGGTACCAATAAGAGTTTATTATAAGATGTTAATTGTATACAAGAAATTTTAATAGTTTTATAGTAACTAAAAATAGAATGAAATTCCTGAGAATATTTTTTATGATTTTTTTAAAGTTCAAAAATTATCGAATTTGGATATTCACGTGTAAATAATATTTTGATACAATTTAAATAGTGTTAATCGTAGAATATTGAAACGTTTAAAACAGATATAAATTAAAATTTTCTAAACTCGATAAAATTTTTAAAATATTTAAATTATTTGTTCGCGATTTATAGATGTTTGAATTTTTTTAATATTTTTTTTAAAGTGATAATACAATTTTTTAGATTTGGTCAAATACCTTAAATATTATTAAAGATTTAACATAATGTGTTATTAAAACTATTTAAAACATAATAAATACTCAGGCACGATTTTTTTTTTAATTATTTTTAAAGATTAAATGTTAACATGATGACAAATTAAAAATGTTGTAGTTAAAATATGTAAAATATTAAATTTTTATAGACATGGCTTGAAAAATTAGGTTTATCATACATTTTTTTTTATAAATATACTAGCTAATCCTCCACTGTGTTGATTGTGATGGATTAAATACTAGTTGATTTACCTTTTTCTTAAACTTCGTTAAATGTAAACTGCATAGATTTTCGACACATTAAAACTTATATTTTTATAATTTATTTTAGCTACATACAGATCTACAATAAAGAGTCTTTTTTTATAGGCTTTTTAAGTTCAAATTTGAATGAAAAAAGATATTTAAACGAACCATTACTATTTTAATTATTTTATTGTAACTCAAAAATATAATTTGTGGGGCTTCGAAATTTTTATATTTATTATTAACATATCATTATATACATAGTAAAGTATTTTGAAAATATTAAAATTAATTTTAAATTATTACCTATTGGCTATTTATATTATGAACCTATAGTAAATCGGTATTGACCCAAAAGTTTATGACAACAATATATGATATAAATGGATAAAAGACATAATTATTAATAATATAAATGCGACATTTTCGGCAAAAATTATTAATTCAACCTACCCTAAAACTTAAAGTAGAATAAATTATTACAATAGCAATCTAAATATGTATATGATAATTATTTATAATAATTAATAATTATACTTAGTAATATACGTTGATAGACTTTCACTGCTCAGAATCGTTTTACATATACAATGATTTATCATTGAATTTAAACTTGACACACCAATATAATGATCTACTCAGCAATGAGGTACACTCTACTTCAAATTATTATACAGAAAAGTACCACCAACATTTCTATTTTTATTTTTCAATTATTTTTGAATTATTTATAATTTTTTTTTTTTATGGCATATAATGGTTTATATTTAAGTGAATATTATCTAATTTGACAAAGTGTCTGTGAGCAACAAACAATTTAAATATCTAAAAAAAGTAGTTTTTGTATGCATAATAGAATACAATTGTTGTGTAAATATAAAAACAAACGACAACAGCAAAATTAATTATTCTTATCCCAATTTGTTTTTTAAACGCTTTGGACAATAATAACATTTTTGTTTAGTGAAATTTGATATATATATTATATACTTATAGAAGACGAAATGTTTATTAAATATTTATAAATATTATTTTATAGTATTTTATAAAAAAAAATTCAATTTACAGTTTTTTTTTTTTTTTAAATTATATAATTATAACTTTGATTGTTAGTAAATATAATTATGCGTGACGATGAGTGTTGTTTGAAAAGAAGTGGAAAAGTAACTTTTAATGTAGTCTGTTGTAAAATTATGTGTGATCATTTGCGATTTTTATCAGGGTAACAGTTAAGTTGGAAATAGAAGAGGAAATAATAAGACTATGAAAGTAACACAGAGAGACCCAAATTATAAATGTTTTGTCTATTTATACTTACAAATGGTCGTATACATAATGTTGCAGTGATTCTGTTCCGTGGTCAGAAATTATTATAAAAGTGTATTGCAAAAAAAAAAAAAGAGTAGTGCAATGTTTATTTTACAATCACATATTAATATAGTACGATAATACTACGTCACGGTTTGCACTAGTTTGAAAGTCCACTATAATAGCTTAATCTATTTTTGTTTAAAATTACATTACGCGTGGTTTATTAATTGAGTTTATTATAGGGCATGTGCTAATATGTAAAATAATAATTATAATCTTGAAGTGCAATGAAATAGTTAAGATGAATAAGTAATTGGCTAAACATCAAATTTAAGGCACGGAAGTAAATAGAAAACGACATGTCTTTTTAAATAATTTAAGTACAAACTCCCGTAATTACAGCCAAAAAGTTCTCTTTATATTTTGTAAGAAAAAAGTTCTTTTCATTATTTATTCATTAATAATATTTTACTGGATAAAAATTTTAATATTTTAATTTCTTAATATTAAAGATTGATATTTTTTTTTATAATTTGATATAATTCAAAAATCATGTCTTATATAAAGATCTACTCGTAGATTTTTAATAAAACTAAATAATAAGTGTTTTAGAGGTATCATTTTAGATTTTCAGTTGTACTAATTTTTTGATTTTTCAAATAAATCCGTTTTATAAATAATATAATTCAGAAAATGATAACGTTTCTATAAGAATATGCATTGACAATAAAATAGCTACTCTTGGTAAATATTTGAACTTTATGATTTTTTAAATAATATTTATGATTTCATAATTTCTACTGTACATTTAATATAGATATTTATGATAAATGGCTATAACTTAAATATTTTCCTTATTATTCAATAACAAACAGTAAGAGTTTGAACTATAGTAACATGTACAAACTTTGTACATTATAATTATAATTTTCATATTCCGTTTTATTCCTCTTTTGATTGACGAAGCGTTTCATAATTATGGCTTTATAAATACTTCTAAATTTTAAATAAGGTTAAGGTTAACTTCTTTATAGCGTTCTAACTATATAACTAAAATATCGTTAAAATCTTGACTAATGATATTTTTACGAACATTTAAAATTTAAACTATGGTGGATTTTTAAAAGTTTCTGACAATAATTTTATTTTTAGAAATTATTTATAGAATTAGTAGTTTAGTTTATTAAGACTCGACAGTTTAATACAAGGTTAATTTAATTATATTGTGAATATTTCTAAAACATCTTAAGAAGATGCCACACCCGCATATCAAAATATCAACCACATGTTGACTCATTTTCTATCGTGATGTTTTGTTTACATATACCTTTCAAATTTGCAACAATATTTCAATAATAATGCAATTTTATATTTAATGAAAATTTATAATATTATTAATAATACCTACTGCAGTGACTCGTTAAAATACCTATTGTTTCTGGACATAACCGTTTTCAACTAACATCGTACCTTTCCCTTTTGGTTGATTCATTTTTTGGCTAAACTAAAAAAACATTATACATAAAAAAAAATATTAAAAATATAAATATATATTTATAGTATAAATATTATACTAATTTTAATTGTCAATGATTATTTTGTTAATTTACTTACCTACCACAGTTACTAAGTAAGCCTGTACATTGTACCTACATATTTTTCCAAATTTATAGATATTTTATGTTATACTTATAATATAAACGTATTAAAATTATAATTTATAAACTATATAGGTTATATGTATATGATTTATATAATAAATCATTTAATATAGAAATTACATCGTTTTTATACAAATTATTTTTCCAATATTTTTTTATATGTATAACATAATATGTTAAATATAAAAAATGTTGATATGTTGAAATGGCATTCTGTGCCATTCCCCTGGTATGCTAGTCTTTTAAATGCAAACTTGTTAGTGAGCATACTGTGTCTTATATCAAGTAGAGGTATATTTACTTCATAAAGGATGCTTGGGATGTGCTTAATCGGATAACTTGGTTGAGGATTGGATTTAGTGAGTTAAATATTAAATTTAAAGTTGCTCAATAGGTTATAGCACCGTACTCAATGTATGTACAATATTATTATATTTATTATAATACTGTAAAACACTAATGACGTCATTTTTAAAGCCGTGATGAATATTAAAATAAATTTTTTTTTTTGGTTTTGTCAATAAATAAATTGGTTGAAAAGAGAATGTTTTGGTAAAAGAGGGTCTCTTCCGTTTTCTCCCGTACTTTAATATGTCTACCCGTCAGCCATATGAATTAGTATTTCGATATTTAAAATACTTCAATGAATATAACAGTTAAATACTTTTAATTATTTTTAATTCAAGAATTAAAAATACACATTTATATTTTTGTATATACTTAGTACTAATGAACAAAAATATACTGTGGATTTTAATAGTTGGGTTTATATATGCCTAGGTACCCAATTTTAATCTAAAAGTAATTTTCCAGAAAAAAAATTAAAAACGGAACAGTTATTAACGGAAATAAAAAATGCTGATATTCTTTATTGTACATCTGCAGTAAATACGTACATTAAATATGGGATTATATTAAACATATATTATACATAAATTTAAAAGTTATTATTTCATAAAATCAAAAGTAATTTCATTGAATTTAAAAATTGTATTAAAAAAAAAAAATAAAAAAATAAGACCTTTAGAAGAAGTTTTCCTTTAAATGACGATTTCAAACATTTTTTTTTTTTTTGGAT